CAATTTATTTATAGTGAACTCCATCCTACGTGAAACTTAAAACTTCCCCCCCAAAGTAACCCAATTAACAAAACTCAAAAGTACATGGATTTTGTAACACAGCTCACCTCTCCTTCATCATCTGAGTCTGGCAGAGACTGACTATATATAGGGCCATCAATTTCCCTTCAATTAGTCCAGCCAGTACCACTCGCTTGAGCTGAGTGATCTAAAACTCTACATAGTTGACTAAAAATGACAAAAAAACTCCTCACACTTCTAATTAGCACCTTTACACAACTAAACGGCTCTATTTAGGGAAAAAAAAGATTCAACAAATCCCTTCAGACCTTGAAACAAACAAAAGGAAGCATTTCTATGGTAAAAGAAACCCCTCCTTTTGGTTCAACCTGCTGATGTCATGAGTGGCATCATCAGCACTTTAAAATAAGGAAATGCTAGGTGGGCCTTTCCCCACACTTGACCTACATGAAGACTGAAAAGAAAGAACAAAGTAAGTATGAACAAATGACTTAACCTGTAACATAATAAAACATAAAGAAACATGTAACTGAGTATTTGCCTTAATTTGCAGAATGTGTGTTTTGCCAGCAACAGAATGCTTACACAAACAAACCCGGGATAGTTAGTGCAGCAATGTTACTTTGACAAATAGCAAATAAATACAGAGACAGAATAATGTGCAAAAAAAGTCAGCACATCTGGGACAATTGCTCATCCACTTTGTCACACTGTGCATATCTTTTTGCAAGCAAATTTATTTTTATGGTCATCCAAATAAAAAATAAATAAATAATGATATATATATAATAGTATCTATAAAAACGGCATCCAGTACATAATAAATAACAGACTATTACTACCATATCGTATGGTGACTGAGGGGTGTAATCTAAGCTGGCATTGAGGGTGTGGTTACATTTCTGTCTTATTCAGGAGTCCTGTTTTCTTCCTTCCAGGGTCCCAAACATGGTTGCCTGGGGAACAGTGGGCGGCGTGGCACTCATTCACTTCACAGATTGGCGATTAATCCTAGACTATGTGCCGTACATTAGAGGGAAGTTCAAGACAGACGAGTAAACTCTTAACATGTGAGTGTGTTACAGGTGTATAAAGGCTGTGCAGATCATTCTGCTCTTCTTTTCCTGTTCACTGAAGTAATGTGCAAGAATAAAGGCTCCATGCTTCTGTATGATTAATGTTTGAAAATGATTTCGTTTTTCTTTTTTTATTATTATGAATTATGTGGCAATGTTTGGGTGTACTACAGATATTGTAGATAATATCTTTGATATCCATTCTGTCATTTTTGTACATGTGTTACTGGTTAAAACAGACCCTATTTAATAGTTGCAGACCTTTGGAACCCTCGCCCTATCCCAACCTCTTTATCACGTCAGAAATCCCTGACTTGTTGCATCAGGCAGAAGGTTTCCTAAGAGAAAAACAGGAGTTAGCCATTCAGCCTGACGTGTTCATGTACACTTTTCTAATAAACGGGCCGTGTGTCTGCCTGCAGGACCACAACGTTGGGATGGGCACTTGGGTGGATTGCTTTCACACCTTGAGCTTTTGTGGGATGCCCTGTCTCAACAGTCAGTCACTGAGGGCTTGTTAGGAGTTTGGACTTCAAGATGCACTCTCTTTATAAACTGCTGTTTTTGATTCAGTGTTATTAAATGTGAATAAATGTAATTTACTCCCAGTATGTCTCCTTGTTCTCTAAATGTAAAACTATTAAAATGCTTTGTTCAAACTTGTATGGTGAGAAATTTTCGTTTATTTACTTGCATTAAAATCAACTGGATGTTTTTATTTATTTATTTTATTTCATTTAGTAGCTGTCACAGCATGCTTTTCTCGTGCTGTAAAAATAATTTAAAATTGCATATTAATTCAGCCTAACGAGCCCAGCAGCTCAACCAGAAGAGGCCAGTTTGAGCCAGACATTATGCTCTTTTTATCAGGCAGACTGCGAAATTTGCGTGGATAATGTCTTTCATTTCTAACATCGAAGGGGGAGGGGACTGAAAGAAGAGAGGGGAGAAGGGATTTAACATAGCGAGAGGGAGAAAACCAGATAGTGTCTTCAAGATGGATAAAAACGAGTAAGTACACGTAAAGGACAATAAAACCGCGAGCTGTGGGTGTAATTATGACGAGCGTTTGATGCGTTATTCGGAATATGTTCGGAAACTATGTTTGCCATCGATCAGGCAAATCCCACCGTCTAGTCTCCTCGCATTCTGCAAACATCCATGCACCGGCTTGAAGCCAGGCTGTCCGCGTCCCTGGAGCCTCGCAGCATGCTTTAATATCTCCGAGATTCACAGATAATACGGTTTAAGCACGGAGGCAGGACTGCGTCGACACGGTGCTGTTTCGGCGCAGATTTTTAGCCGTGCAAAGTAGAAATAATGTTTCTTTTTCCTGCATTGTTCTTATAGAAACTAAGCGTGACGTGTAGTTGAAATGCTGTGCGGTACATCGGTGACATCTACTTTGTTCATTGATAAAAGCCGGCTCCGAGCCCGAATGACAACGGTCGGCATTATCGTGGTGAAACGGCTCTCCACTTTCACGCAGTTCACACAGAAACCTGCGCATTTTGGTGAAGAAACCACAAATAAATGTGTTTATTTTGCGTATTTTGCTGGATTTAATTATTTAGCACCGGTCGTGGTTGTTGTCAGCGCCGCTTCGTGCTTATTGTTTACGGTCTATTTGTAGCTGCAGCCTAATTTATGTTTCCCATAGATTAACGTTGCTCTGGTGTTATGACACTGACGTCAAGCTACGGGGACGTAGAACGCACAACTTCCTGTAAGATCTGTCAAAATAAAAGCGTATACAGGGTCGCTTCAGTTCAAGAATTTGTAGGATTTAGCTGCATAACCCAAACTCTGGTATAACTAAGCACAGCAAGGGGAAGGCAGTCATACTATACTCAATCATAATATTATAATTATATATTTAATCGCATAACTGCATTCACATATTTGATAAAACATTGTTTTAATTCAACATGAACAATCACTCAAAAACTGAAAAACGCTAAGTAGATCTCAATTTATTTATTTATTATTAAACCTTACATTTCAAAGTCAAGAATTTAACTACTCAAATGCATTCAAATAACTATTTTTCAGTATTAGCTGTTTTTAATAGAATCAATAGAATATCTTTATTTGTCATTGTCCGGGTGTACGAGAATGTTTGGATCATCTCACACATCAATTTCTATAAAGTCTTGATTTATAAAACTAAAAAAAAATGAATGTGAATATTTAAATTAGAGGAAAAAGAACAAGAATAAATTAAAACACATGAACGTATCTGTTTTACGGTCTTTGGTGATATCACACACAAGTTTTGGGTTTAAACGTGTGTAAGTTTGTTCTGTTTATATTCAAATATGAATATGAAAATATTCATGTAATAAATAGTTTGAAAAGACTCATTATTCAACTGTTACTCAAATATTTAAGGAAATCTTTAAGATTAAGTGGTTTGTCACCCAAGTTTCAGATTTTAACATTAAAATTTTGAGAGACAACCGAGTATAAAACATTAGGAAAATTAATGTGAATGTGAGAGCCCAAACTTAATACCAGTTCAGATAATTGAACTTCATATGTTCAGCTAAGATATTACAGACAGGCAAAATACAACCTGAAGGCAACTCACTTTGCTATTTAAATGAAATCAATGGTGCCAGCTTTATAGCCTGCACAACAAATCCAAGCATAAACAGCTTATCTGAAACCATATCATGAACCATTATGAATAATAACCATAAACACACAGAACACTCATTTGTAAATAAGCCTGTGAGTTAAAGACAGCCTGGTGAGCTGATGATGACTTCCATTGAAACAAGTATGGTGGTAATCCAGTGTCCTCCTCAGTCATGCCGCTACATTTGATGCAGATGCTCTAAGTTATTATTGAACAAGTATTTAACACAGGCTGGTTGTTACTACAATAAATTGAAATTGTTTAATATTTTCATTAGCAAATCATAAGACTTAATTTACTTACAGCAGTAAAATTATTACCTTTTTGGATGGAAGGTTACTATAAGGTTATTATAGTTAATGAAATCTAACTAAAATAACAAAAAAAAACTCTGGCAGCTAACTTTACTAGAAATAAATGTGTAAAACTAAATACAAATAAAAAATGAGTATAATAACTCTTGCGTGTACTGCCATGTAACTACGTTACAATGCATGTTTTAACACTGACCTCTTCAGGGGTCAGTATAGAGCACGGTTACTTAACATTGTGGACCACATGGATCTCACTTTGATCTTAAGTGGGCCGGACCGGTGAAACTGCCCTTTTCGTCAGTGTAAATAAATGTAACCACTTATTGGAGAAATATGATAATGTAAGAAAAAGAAACGTCTCAGTTTATCCATGTGTTACTTTGTTAAATGTGTTAATCTTTTAGCGTGACTGTGTAAAATTAATGTGTAAAATTACAGGCAGCTCATTAGCCAGAATGTCCTGCAATAACAAAACAGAAAGTTACTATAATTCACAGAAAATGTCCTTTTTTGGACTGATTGTTAAAAAAAGGAAATTTTATGTTTTGAATTATTTATCTATCACTTAATTGCTTGTAGTATGTATGGCCTCAAGGAGTGCTTCATCAGCAAAAAAACAAAAACAAACTGCAAATCTTGCATAAAAAAACTTTCAAAAGTCCAAAGATTTATGTCTTCCTGCACATTTTCCAAAGCCGTCAAGTGGGCCGGATTGGAGTCTTTGCTGGGCTGAATCTGGCCCCCGGGCCTTACATTTGACCCTCCAGGTTTAGGAGGATTATTTTCCCCTTTTTAAACATCAGTAATATCTTCCTTTCCCCCGGTCGCTTGCTCTACTTTACCCAAGAATCAGCTCACGCTTCGATAAGGACGTGCTTTTCTACCGAAATCCGAACGCACTAGCTTCCTGTTTGTGTCGCGACGCTTTGACGTATCTGTCCTGTTTTCCTTGCGGATGTAGCCCTCGTGCCCCGGAGAGACAGTCAGGTAGTGATGTGGCTGAGGTCCGCGGCGGAGCGATCTGCGCTACGACAAAGAGCCGAGATGTTCGCGCAGAGATCTACTCCAGAGGACGCGCGTAGTAACATGGTCGAAACAAAAGCGTGAGACGCCATAGGCCTGCCGTCCCAACAACATTATATACAAATATACATCGGCACATTTCCTAAAAGCCACTGTGGTCATCTGGAGTAAGTTTGAGTGGATTTAGAGATTACTCGCGTGGGAAATGGAGAAGAAAAGGTGGGATTGCACTGCTCTCCCCAAAGGCTGGAAAATGGAAGAAGTGACCAGAAAGTCCGGTTTGTCAGCTGGAAAGAGCGATGTCTATTATTTTAGGTACTGCACGAGCTAAGGGCTTGTAACAAAAACAAAACTTAGAAGTTGCACGAGACACCGAGTGTGCGGACGGAAGCGGGGCAGGAGTGTGTTCGGTGTCGATGTAAAGTTTGGGAATGGGAGGGAAGGAGGGGGGCTCTGTTTGCTGCACGACAACAACAAGGCCAGCCGGGCCAAGTCCTCAACAACTGTTGGGACTGCAAGGAGTGTGTGCAGGCTAGCAGCAGCTCCTCATGCCTGCCAAGGTGTTGAGATAAATAAAGCTCCGTGTAATCTCCGCTAATGACCTTTTATTTCCCAGTGAAGTGAATCAACAAACCTCAGATTTGTTCTCATTTAGCAGAGGAGAAGAGCAAGATGAGGAACAGAGGCAAGAGAGGGGGGAGGCGGGTCGGTTGTATAGTTTGTGGTAGGCTAAATGTACAATCCTACTGGTGTTCACTGTGGTGTGTGATGTTAGATGCATTTGCATGAGTTACTCTAGCACGTATCCACCCACAGTTGTTCCTTTGTTTGGTCATCTCTCAGGCTCAAGATGATGCTGCTGCTGCTCCCAGCAGCGGAGCTCTAATGTTTCCACCCTGAAACATTTGACTAGTTTTAGTTTTGCCATGTTCACATTGTGATCACTGATGGAGGAGGGTGCGGTGTAGTTACACATGTTCAGTATATATTTTCATATGTGCCCATTTTTCCTGAGACGTGTGCAGCTTGTTGGTAGGTGACAGAGCCAAGGTGGAGTCTGCATCCATTTCACAAAGTGCTCATCCGCTCATTTGGATGTCTCCTGCTTCTCTTTGTTGCTGTTGACTTGTTGCATGTTGTCGTCTGTGTGTTACACTTTTCTGTGTCGTCTCTGTGTGTTTTTTGTCTTTCGTGTTTTCAGTCTCGGTGTGACCTTTGTTTTTGCTGAGAGGCAGTGCTAACCTTTTTTTTTTTTTCTTCCCCCGCCTCATCTCTGCGTCTTCCTCGTTAGTCCATCTGGGAAGAAGTTTCGGAGCAAGCCTCAGCTGGCCCGTTACCTTGGTAACCAGATGGACCTCAGCTCTTTTGATTTCCGCACGGGGAAGATGCTGATGAGCAAGCTGAACAAGAATCGCCAGAGACTGCGATACGATAACAACAGCCAGAACAAGGTGACACAGTTGGCCTCGTGAAAATCAGCCGCTTGACCTCAGTGCTAAAGCGGGCTCCAGATTTGTGTTCTATTTACTGTCTGCCCTTTTATCTGCATGCCAGAATCCCGAGTGTGAAGTCTGTGATCTAAGTGGAGGAAGGACGCATGCAGCCACTGCTTTGTAAAGTTAATCTCTTTTGCGGATTATATGGTGCTCGTCTCGATAAACAGATTGGATCAGTAGCTCTAAGGAGTGTACAAGCAAGATTAACAGTGTAGCTGTGTAGACTGAGCTTAAAGCAAGACTCAGATGTTTCTGTTAACCTGCATCGATCACTGTGGTAACAGGTTAGCTGTGCGGCCCACACTTTCTGTGGGTCGCACAGCTAACCGCTCCAGATAAGGTGATAGCGAGGAGTTTCTCGAAATATTCTCCTGACAGTTCGGTCTGGAGTGATGCAGAACGAATGCATTATGATCAAACCTGCGGAAAAGTCACATTTTAGTAATGTACCCAACAAAACTGTGCAGTTAGAGTGGACAAACTGTTCAATGATGGTGAGATTACATGATTACATTTTTATGATCTGAGCTAGAGTCTGACGTCCACTGCTCGCAACACAGCTCAGGAAACTGATTAGTGCTTCTTTGGTGGATACAACATGTAAGATTAAATCAGAAATGAGGGATGTGCTGAGTGCAGATACAGATCGGAGAGAATGAGATGAAACATAGTTTGTGGTACAAGTTCAAATTTAATTACAGCTCAGAGAGTAAAATGGTGTTTGCAGGCAAGTCATTCAAGCTATGGGCGACCGTGACGAGCTACATGCGATCACAACCATCAGTTGGAGGTTTTTGGTTCAGCACGCTCTTCTTCATGACTGATTTCCCCCAGCGACCGTTTGCCATCACCAAGCAGCGGCTGACCGGTCTCTGAGCCTATGAAGCAGAGGCTTTAGCTCTCTAGTTGAATGAGACGGATCCTGTTTCTCTTGTCCTTCTCATCCTCTCTTGATATTTTTGTTAAGGGTAAACCTGACCTGAACACATCACTCCCAGTCAGACAGACGGCCTCCATCTTTAAGCAGCCCGTTACCAAGGTTACCAACCATCCCAACAACAAAGTGAAGACGGACCCTCAGAAAGCCGTTGACCAGCCCAGACAGGTGAATAAACTGTTACTGTGACAATAAGCCAGAGAAATCAGGAGGCCTGTAATCTGATACTGTAATTTAAAGGATCAGATAATGAAGAGTGTGTGTAGCTAGGAAACTGGACAGACCAGTATTGCTTGAATACTGGTGGATTGGGGGGGGGGGGTTTACTGCATTCGTAGGAACAATGTATTTCTGTTGAGAACTGCCTGCAGCTGAAACATTCTTCCTTATTTTGTTCACAGTTATTCTGGGAGAAGAAACTCAGTGGTCTGAATGCTTATGACATTGCAGAGGAGCTGGTGAAAACAATGGAACTGCCTAAAGGCCTGCAAGGTAAAACTTCATCAGCCTCACCAAGCACTTTATGTCCTAAAATGACATTTTGGTATTTCCTCTAAGAGCAGTTTTCGACTGAGCTCAGTAACTGCTAAACTTTGATAAAATATAAATAAACATGGGTGTAGTTAACAGTTTCTGGAAAGTGTTTGGTAACCACATGCTGGTCCCACAGGTGTCGGTCCAGGTTGCACAGATAAAACTCTCTTGTCGGCGATTGCCAGCGCTCTGCACACGAGCGCTGCTCCAATCACCGGGCAGCTGTCCGCCGCTGTGGAGAAGAACCCGGGAGTCTGGCTCAACACTGCGCAGCCACTGTGCAAGGCCTTCATAGTCACTGATGAAGACATCCGGTGGGTTTCTTAAAACAGTCTACACGTGTTTTGGGTTTTCAGAAAAAAAAATCTACTCATGTTTACCTAAGCCTGTGATTTTCAGTTCCAGGAAGTAAGACCTCCAGTACTGGAGTAAAATTGAACTGAATTCAATTTTATTTATACAGCACCAAATGACAACAACTGTCGCCTCAAAGCACTTTGTATTGTAAGGTAGACCCTACAATAATATATACAGAGAAAACCCAATAATCATATGACCCCCTATGAGCAAGCACTTTGGTAACAGTGGGAAGGAAAAACTCCCTTTTAACAGGAAGAAACCTCCGGCAGAAAAAGGCTCAGGGAGGGGCGGAGCCATCTGCTGCGACCAGTTGGGGTGAGAGAAGGAAGACGGGATTAAAAAACATGCTGTGGAAGAGAGACAGAGATTAATAAAAAGTATGATTCAGTGCAGAGAGGTCTACTAACACATAGTGAGTGAAGAAGAAACACTCAATGCATCATGGGAATCCAACAGCAGCCTATGCCTACAGCAACATAACTAAGGGAGGATTCAGCGTCACCTGATCCAGCCCTAACTATATGCTTTAGCAAAAAGGAAAGTTTGAAGCCTGTCTGTTTCCTGAATCCAAACTGGAAGCTGGTTCCATAGAAGAGGGAACTGAAAACTGAAGGCTGTTTCCCATTGTACTTTTAAATACTCTAGGAACAACAAGTAAGCCTGCAGTGCAAGAGCGAAGTGCTCTAATGCTGTTATATGGTACTATAAGGTCATTAAGCTAAAGAGAGATGCAACAGGTATCGATTCTTTCTATCCCAAATTTAAATGCATTAGAAAAATGGGGCTATTTGCCAAATGCAAAGTAAGCTTGCCTTTTTTCTGTTATCTCTGATTAGCCCAATTCCAGTATTCTTCTGGTCAGTGTTCCTCAACCCATAGCAAGTGACCAGTGATCTCTGTAAAGACACCATCTGCTCTTTGTTGGTTTAATGGCTGTTATGGCCAGATGTAACTGCCAACTGTAACAGCTTCCTGTTGTGTTTATGTGTAGGAAGCAGGAGGAGCTGGTGTACAGCGTGAGGAAGCGGCTGGAAGAGGCACTCATGGCCGATATGTTGGCCCACGTCGAGGAGGCTGCCAATGAAGGAGAGGCTTTAAAGGAAGAGGGCAATGGCAGTGAAGACATGGAGAGTGTATAGCACAGGTTGGTGGAAACACTGAAGTGACAGTTTACTCAAAGATTAGATTTATGTGTTTAAA